GGATTCATCACAGATGGTGCTTTGCTTATGGGTCAAGGAAAATACTTCTTGTTAACATTTTTAGTTTTAAAAAGTTACCGAGCTTCTATTCTCTTGGTTCCTTCTCTGACCGAGATTGAGAATATCCTTGAATGGAAGCGTTTATTCAAAAAAGTGAAATTTCTTTGCATAACAAAGTAACAGAGATATGAGGTTTTCAGAGGAGACAAAGACTGAGAGAAGATTCTTAGGGAAAGGGAAATGTGGTTGCAGGAAGGGCTCAGAGTAGAACAGTCCAGAAGGAGGGTGCTGAGCACATCAGTGATTTCTTGTGCCATCTGCTATCCTGTGATGGCCCCACCTTTCAATAAGTCTTCTAGGTAAAATGGCCCTGTGTCTCAAGGAGCCTTTAGGGAAAGAAGAAAAGAAGGGCTTAGCCTGCCATGTGTGAAAGTGAGGGGAAGAGGGGACAGCATTGTCAGGAGGTAGGTAAAAAAGCTTGCATGCAGCCGGAGCAGGAATCCATAAGGAAAAATGATCATGAAACTGCCAATTCATTCCCCGGGAGTCCTTGGAATCTTGGGAGGACATAGAGTTCCCACAACATTGTGTATGAGAGCTCAGGCTATTAAAAAAAACAATAATAACAATTGTGATTTAAGAAAGATGATAAAAAATCAGTTTCCATAAGGATTAAACGAGAGAATGTATATAGAGCAATTAGTTCAGAGGCTAGCTCATGATAAGCACTTAACTAAAGGTAGCTTTTATTATGATGATTTATTGTTCAATTTCTCTTTTCTCCACCTTTTTGAACTTCAAGGGCTTACAACCTACTTGAGAATTATGAACTAGTCATTCATATATTCCACAAACATTTATCACATTCCTTCTATGTAACAGGTATGTGTAATAATTTCAGGCAGCAGTAATTAGCATAGCTGATGTTACTGAGGGCTTAGTACGTGCTGAGTCCTGTGCTAAGTGCCTCAAATGGTTTATCCTCACCACAATCCTGGGGAGGAACAATTATATTTCCACCTGACAAATGAGAAGACTAAAGCACAATGAGTTTGAAAAGACTTGCCCCAGATCACAAGCCAGTAAGACAGATGAGTTTTGAACCTGTGCAGCTGGATTTGAGGGCAGGCTTTTAAGTCCCACATTAGGCTGTTTTTTTTTTTTTTTTTTTTAATGCCATTAATAATGCCTGTGAGTTGTGGCATACAGAGGGGCAGGCACCATGGGGGAGTAATTCTAGAAGGGTGGGTAGGATTTCTTGTCTCCTTTTCCCCACCTCCCATTCCCTTTTCACTTCTGAGCTGTCAGGATAGGTGGCTGATAGATCCTAACACATCTGTCCACCGCTGCTCAGTGGCTCCTTTGAATTCTCCTGTTCTGCCTGGGCCTACTATTAGCAAGGGGCAGGACGAGGAGGAAGCGAAGGGAAAGGTCTGACTGGAGCAGTCAATAGATAATTAGAAGCTGACTATTTTACCATAATGCAGCACAACGGCAATAAATAAATCAATCACTTGGGGGATGGGGAATGACTTTCCTATAATCAGCTATTAAAGGCTTGTATCACTAATTAGTCTATTAATTAGAATGGTTCTCTCCCTTCCACATGTTATCAGCCTGCCAAGGCAGAGAAAACCCAGCCCCCAGGGCAGGAGATAAGGGAAATAAGACAGACCCAAAGCAGCAGATTCAAACAGCTGGGCTTATGTGTGTGTGTTTAAAAGCACAGCTCTTAGTGCCCGGGGCGAATCCACCTGCTAGTAGGAAAGGAACGTTTATCAAAAACCAAAGGGCTGTTGTCTTTGTTGAACGGAAAGAGGGGAAAACGATTTGATCTTTAAAGAGAAAAGTCACCATAACCACACACACAGGGATCTTGTGAAGGGCAGTTCCACCGGGTGTCCCCTGGGGCTCTGGACAGATAGAGAAACAAACACGCAAAGGCAGCGCTACGGGAAGATCCAGCAGCAAAGGGACTGAACACCTGATGCCCGTATGTGTACATCCTAGGGAACACACACATCAAGCTCCTACTACATGCCTGGCACCACTTCCGTTCTTCACATTTGTAAAAATGCCTCGTCTGATGATATCACTGACATCTTCAGGATGCCCTTGAGTTATTTCTGGAGCTTCTGAAAAGGGGCTTCATCTAAGCCCTCACAGTCATGTTTTTGGCTCTCTGTGGTCCACGCCCCCTGTTCACCAAGATCTCAGGGAAACCTCTCATGACCTTGGCTCGATATGGGCCCAGAAAGTCAAACGTCATTCTTGAACAGTTCCAACAACCTCTGACCTCCAAAGCTGTCTCCACATTCCTGGGAGCAAGCACTTCAGCCTTCATTCTTTTTTCTTTACTTCTCCAGCTCCTCTTCTCCTCTTTAACACTGCCTGGTCACCAAATAACCCATTCCCATGGCTTGAAATACAGCAGCCATTGGGCCCGGGTGTTGCAGTAGGCGTCTCCACTAGCAACAACCTGCCAACAGCCATCAGTCATCCTTTTCAAGTCTCACAACAGACACATGATAGGCTATTAACCCCATTTTGCAGAATGGGCACATCAAGGCCCAGAGTGGTTGATTTGGCCACACTTCTGCAGGTGCTGACAGAGCACTTAATATGAACTCAGTAGATATTTGCTGATGGACAGAATTGGACATGTGGAGGAAACAGATATCCAGCTTCTGGGAACCTTGGAGCCTGCAGAAGTCCAATTACATGGGACAGAGAGGCTGTCGACTGAGCTCACCCCACTAGGGTGTGATTAGGGGCAGAAGTGGGGAGTAGAGGGTCATCTCCAAGGTCATTCTCCCTAGCCCATTCCTTTCTGTCCTGTTTCCACCACCAACCCACCTCACACACTGGAAAACTCTTTAGAAGAAGGCTGAGCGGTGACATTTGTGAGCACATGATCCTCAGGATGTTGACATATATGTGTCCCAACACTGCTTCCTATTTTAAAGATGGGAGGGAAGAGAAAGGGTGATGTGGTGGAGAGAGCCTATGCTGGAACCCAGTGTCAAGCCTCTTCCGTTCTTGGTAACTATCTAGATGACCTTAGGCAAATTGCCTTCTACTGTCCACCTTTAGTTTCCTCATATGCAAAATGGGAAATGTCAGCTGCCTACTCAAAATGTTACTGTGAGGATCAAGTGAAGTAATACAACAATACTGACTAACATATAGATATGGAGGACATTAAAGTTGCAAAGTACTGCAACATATCTCTTCAGCCAGCTTCAAAGCAACCCTGAGTACTATTATCCCCATTTTTTAGTTAAGGAAATGGAAGACTCAGAAAGATGGAAATTAATTTGTTAAAAGTGAGTGATGCTATTCTTAAAAAGCAGTAGACCTGGTCCCACCGCATCTTGCAACACCACTGTATTGCTCCAGAGTCTTTTATCTGGAATGTGTATCATGTTCAAAGTTTTCATTAATTTAATAAAAATTTGTGTGTTCCCACCTGACACCAAGTATGATACTAAGCATTGAAGACACTATTGCAGAAGTATTATGGTGCCAGGGAAAGCAGACATCATTTTAGATGTGGCTAATGTTATTATTATTTGTTACTGGGGATTGAACCCAGAGGTGCTTAACCACTGAGCCTTATCCCCAGCCCTTTTTATTTTTCCTTTTGAGATAAGGTCTCATTAAGTTGCTTAGGGTCTTGCTAAATTGCTGAGGCTGGCTTTGATCTTGGGGTCCTCCTGTTTCAGCCTCCTGAGCTGCTTAGGTGACTTAAACGACAGACACATACTTCTCACAGTTCTGGATGCTGGGGAATTCAAGATGGAGGGACTGGCAGGTTTGTTTCTGGAGAAGGTCTGCTCCTGGTTTGTAAATGGCCAACTGTCTTCTTGTTTCCTCACATGGCAGAAGGCAGAGAGAAAGAGAGAGAGCAAGTGCTTGTGTCTCTTCTACAAGGGTTCTAATCCCATTCCTGAGGGCTCTGCCTTCATGACCTAATTACCTCACCTTCTAATACCCTCACTTTGGGTTTAGGATTACAAGTATGCTTTTTTTTTTTTTTTAAATTTTTTTTTAGTACTGGGGTTTGAACCCAGGGGTGCTCAACCACTGAGACACATCCCTAGCCCTATTTATTTTATTTAAAAAATTTGAGACTGGGTCTCACTAAGCTGCTGAAAGACTTGCTGAGTCGCTGAGGTTGGCTTTGAACTTATGATCTTCCTGCCTCAGCCTCCTGAGCTGCTGAGATTATAGGCATGAGACATTACGCCTGACACAAATATGCATTTTAAGGGCACAAAAATATTCAGTCCATAGCAAATGTGCAGACTGGCTCTGAGCATGTTGAAACTGGAGGCAGGCAGGCTAGGTAGGATGGAGACAAATGCCGAAATCCAGGTGAGAAATGATAGTGCGCTAAGAATTCAGAGGTGGGCAATCTTTGAAATTTAGTATGTGCAAGGAGGGAGGGAAGTAAGATGGGACAATCAAGGATGACATCCTGGTTGCTTTTGTCATGTGCCACTGTGCTTCTGGCATGGCAAGTGGGTTTTGATATCCCTTATTTGGAGTAATGGAAACTAGTGGCAGAATAGCTGCTATTTGGCAGATGCATTCTCATGAACTTGTATCCCACCTTCATCCAGGAAACCCTAAATTGTGGCCTTGCCCAGAGGAGAAGGAATACATAAAAAGACCTTGCCAATTTGAGAATTCTGTTTTTCAGACATGGAGATGTAAGTGAAGTAGTTACATGTTGGTTATTGGTGGAGCATCCATCAGGGGAGGAGGAGGGGCACAGGTTCCCCTGAAACAAAAGCATTCCTCTCCCTGGGCCTCCTGTTCCCCTCAACCCAACTTCTCTTTAATTATTTATGAACAGTTTGTCAAGGGCATACCATTTAAGATACCTTTGTTGCAGAGGAGGAAATTGATCTTAAAAGAGTTTACAACTAACCACACAGATAACCACAGGTGCATGTAGATCTACTAGAGACAAAAGACATAAAGAACATACTTACTCCCAGAAAACAGAGGTCACAGATGGCACTTGAAGAGGCTTTTGTACTGGCCTGAAAGCACAGGTGGAATTTCTTCAGGCAGAAATGTGGGCTTGGGGTCTGCTGGAGATATTTCAGGAGAAGGAAACAGCTGGAGGAAAGGTGGAAGCAGATTCAGAGAATCAACAGCTAGGTCTCTTATCTGTGGATACCTGCGGAGAGGAAATTTTTAACCTGGGGGTCATGGAGCTTTGAGAAGTTTCAGAATTCCCTGAAATTCTATGCAAAATTGTGTTTCCTATACATGTGAATACAAAAGAACAGAGGATTCACAGCTCTTCTATTCTCAAAAGGGTCTAGATCCAAGAAAAGATTGAAAAATCAGTCCTCTAAAATCTCCTGAATTAGAATTTACAGGTAGGCTGGTGCATCTGTGTTGTTTTTTAAATAAGCTCTGCAAATGACCCAGTGCACACCTCAGATCTCATCTCTATGATCTCTATGCAGGCTTACGGAGGCCCTACAATGCCAGCTCTCGTCATTTTACCCCCATTTTAAAAGAGGGGTCACTGGGAGAGTATTTTGAGGACGAAATGTCAGAGCAATGGGGGAACCAGTATAACATGCAAAGACTCTGGAGTCTCCTTCAGGGATAGAGTGAGTGGGAGTTGTCCTGTCCCAAGCCTGGGGACTGTCAGAAGGCCTTTCAGGCCCCTCTCCCCACCCCACCCCCAACCCCCGCCCAGCTGCAAACCTACTGGCAAATTCTGGGAATTTCCAAATCCTTCGGCGAGGCTGCGGCAGAATTTTCCCGGACTCGAGCGTGCGGTGCTGGACGCGGCCGCTGGGTGGCGCCGCGAAGGACGCCGGGAGTGGGAGTGGGAAGCGCGGCCGCGCGGGCGGGCTGAGCTCACACGCCCGGGAAGCGGCGGCGGGTGCCGCGGGGCCGGCGTCCGCAGCTGCTGCGCATCTCCCGCGCGCCGCGGTTCGCTTGCCGGGCAGCGAGCGGTGTTGCGCAGTCCCCTCGGAGGATGGCGGCCGCAGAGGTAAGAGCCGGGCTTTGGCCGGGTGGGAGTGGGCAGCGCGGGCGGGGCCTGCAGCGCGGTCCCGGAGCGTCCTGGGACACGGTGGGCTCCCAGGAAGCGATGCCCAGGGTCCCGCCCGTGCCCCACCCCCGCTGCAGCTCGGTCTCCCGGCGCAGCTCCCCTCTCCAGGGTGTGGGAGTGGATCGCGGCCTGGAGCCGCCCGGGCGGGCCCCGCACTCTGGGGTCAGGGCTGTCTGGGCGGTGGGTGAGCAGCCCCCGGCCCGCACGTGAGCCCCAGCCCCCTCCCACCTTGGGTTCCTGGGCTCCGCAGTGGGCGTGGTGCCCCTTTGCTGCAGAGGGGGCGCCCGGAGTTGAGGAAGGCTGTGGGGTAGGGAGAGCGCAGAGACAGGTGGTTGAGGGGGCGAGGGATGGTGCGCCAGGGCTCGTGATATTAATACGTGTTTCTTTTTCCCCCTTCTTCAGGGGGCTCGGTGGTGCGTGTGGCGGAGGCGGCGGGAAGGCCAGAGGCATAGTTTGGGAGAGGGCAGGTGCCACCGGAGGAGATGCCACTGGGCTCTGTCTCTGTTCAGTTTCTCCCCCCCTTACCTCCACCCCACCCCACCCCATGTTAATAAAGTGGGTGTGGTGGTGATGATGGAGGAGTTTGATGAAGATCTGGCCCCAAACTGCCCTGAACTGCCCCAGGCCGCCGCCTGGCCCCGCGTGCAAGTCCCGGAGGGAGCCGCGGACTCTGAGCTCACTGCAGAGGGGGAGGGGGAATACCGGCCTTGGAAGAAGCGCAGGCAACTGAGGCAGCGACCTAGACAGGGGCTGCAAGCGGGTCGGGGACTGAGGACAATTCCCTAGGTTTACTGCCGCTTCATAGGTGGGAGGTTGCCAGGATATGGTGGGAGGTGGGAGGTGGGGGCTGCAGAAAAAAAGGGCAATTTCTTTAATACCCCCCTCCTTCCAGCTTTGTTTGCAGCCCTATATCAAAATTTGGGATTTAGCCTTTGCCAAATGTGCTTTAATTTTTTTTTCCCTTTCCCTTTCGGTTTGTTTTGTTTTTTAGAGAAACAGCAAATGACAGAGCAGAGGGACGGCTGGCCCAGCCAATCCTGGAGCTGCTGCAGTCCCTGTTCCCCAAACAAGCACATTCTGGTAGGAAGAGGGGGCTCTGGTCCTCACTCCTCCCCTACCTAAGACCCCCTTGCTGCCCCCCTGCCAGAAGGGTGGCCAGGCTGTCTCAGGCCAGACAGAGGCTGCCAGGGCCACGGTGGTGATGGTGCTGCGGCCCCTCCCTACTGCCCAGCGTGGGAAGAAGAATGCAGAGCCAGGCAAGTCTCTCTCTCTGTCCTCTGGGGTGGAAGGAGCAGGTATAGACAGGGATGGGGCAGCTAGGGCCTGGCATTGCTTTGGCATTGGTGGCAAGAGGGCTGTTCTTCCAGCCCCTTGCGTTTGTTTCCACCCCTGGCCTGTCCCTGGCACTTGATAACTGCGTCTGTGTGCTTATTGGTGCCACCATGTTATATAACGCTTATATAATCTCCCAGGGCGAGCACTCTGTCTCTGTTCTCAGGTCACGCAGACACCGTGTCCATGTAGGAGGCAGGATCTGGAGAGCTTGTGGGTGGACCTACTCCCCCCATCCCCAGCTTGGCTTCTTTTTCTGATCCCAGGCATGGGAGGGGGACTGGGAGAACGGGGCCCATTCCACACAAGCTGTCTGGGCCCGAGAAAGAAGGGTTGGCTGGGCAGTCTTCACCACCACCTTGCCCATTTATTTCCCCTTGCCCAGGGGAACATCTGGCAGAGTGGATGCCATTCTTGTGCTTTGAGGCCAAGCCTTGGTTCTTGGGGCCCCTGGCATGGCAGGTGGGTGTGGTGAGATGACCCCCAGAATGCCGCAGTAGAAAAGTACATGGTACTTAGCCTTAGATAAAAAGAGGGAAAAATTACTTCTGCCTTTGAGGTTTTGAGCAAGAGACCAGAAGGATGTTGATGGCATCATAAGAAATTTGGAATAAGCTTAGGGGGTAGGGGATGGTCAGGGAAGGGTGTACAGGGAAGTGGATCAGACAGCAAAGATAAACATGGTGTTCTTTTACTGTACTCTCCACTGGGCTGTCCCTGGTTACCAGGGCAACAGAAGCAGTGATGAAAATCATGCCTTTCGTTCAGTGGAAAAATCTGGCTCCTCCTCCCGCCTCTTCGTTCTCTAATCATTTGCGACCATTGGGAGGGTGTTGCCTCCAGGGATCAGAGACCCCCCAAGCATATCCTTGTTATACTCCTCTTTCTCCATTTTGTTTTTCAAATCATCTACCCCCTTTTTACATCCCCCACCCCCAGCTCAGTAACTGGCAGTTGCATAGAAGTTAGAGTGCGTAGTGGGGGCAGGGCATGGACGTCATTGCAGGGAAGGGTGAGTAGAGCGTGGGCAGAGATGTGGATGCAGGAATGATGGGCACATGAAGAGGATCAGGGATTGATCAGCTTGATGGAGCCAAGATGTTGTTTCTGGGATGGTAAGAGATGAGGGTGGGAAGGGTGAGTGAGATGTTAGAGGGCCTTCAGAGCTTGTGAGTCTTGGGAAATAGGAAGGCCCTGAGATTTTTCTGAGTGCTCCATGGTGAAAGCTAGGAATCGATCATTAAGCATTTATTGTATCCTCCCCTCACACCCATGTTGGATGAGGTTTTTGGAGCTGGGACACAAAAGGTAGGTAACACTCGACTGTGACCTTGAAGGGATCATAGTGGATGTGAGGTGGATGAGTAAATGAGGGAAGATCTGGTGTTGTGGAATCCGGGGGCCCCAAGCAGGAGACTGGCAACATACCAGATTGGAGGTCATGGGTTAGGGTGGAGCCTGTGGGAACGGGGAGGAAGAGGTAGTACAGAAAGCCACTTTGGCTTGGAGACAGGACATGGGGAAGACAAGCTACTGAATTTTTGAGCCTCGGTGATTGAAGAAAAAGAAAAATTAGCATTCAGACTTTCACGGGGGAATCCTATTTTATTTGCTTTTGGACATGTGCTCTTCAAGATGATGGCCAAGGCATTGGGACAGAGATGTTTATGGTCAGGCAACTAAAGTTTGCAATGGAAGTCAGTTCTGGGAAGAGATTTGGAGGATATTGGATTACGAAGTTTGAAGGTACTTGGTTGCTGAGAAGGTCTGTGGAGTAGATCCCAGGGCTTAGGGCATTGACCTGGAATGGGGTGATACTGTATGCCTTGTGCTTGTTTATTACCCCAGGGCTTGCCCAGACTCCTAGACCAGTTTCTGCTGATCACCCACATCTGCTACCTAACCACATCCTTTTTTGAAGTTTGGGGTTTTGTTTTTGTTTTCTCCCTAGTAACTGTGTTCAAGTACTGTTGGAAAAATAGCCATATGTACATACACTTACCTCTCTAGGCAGTCTCCTTGACCTTTGCTGAACCATTTGCTTTCAGCCCCAAGTAGTGCTATAGAGAGGTGCCATAGGCACTTGGCCTCCCCCAGCATACTGTTTATATGCTTCCTGGTTATTTACTACTCTGGAGGAGTATAGAATGTGGAGACCTTTGGCAGCACATGATCTTGGGCACACCACTTCCTTTTCTAGGCCTTGATGCCTAGTCCTAGGGATCTAGTTTTTTCCAGCTCTGAAGCCCTCAGATTTGATGTCTACAGCTTTTTCCACCTTTGCCCAGCTTCCTGATCCAGGCCAGGCTTTGGAGCAAGCAGCCTAGATTTTCTTCAGTGTTTTCTGGAAATGAATAGCAGGAATGAAGTCCCTTGGCTTCAGAGTGGGTGAGAGCCCTTTAGGTGCATGGTGGCCTCTTCTTTGGGGCATGAAAATTCTAGAAGAGCAGGTTTTCCCAATGACCAGGGTTTGGCAAACTATGACCCATGGATTGGATGCCTGTTTTTGTAAATAAAGTTTTATTGGCACATAGATATGTCCATTATTTATGAATTGTTTTTGGCTGGTTTCATGTGATAGGGGCGTGGTTAAGTACTTGCAACAGAGACCATATGACCCAACAGCCTAAAATATTTACTCTCTTGACCTTTAAGATACAAAAGATAAAAGTTTGCCAACCTCTGCCACAGGCGATGAGAAAAGTGTTTAGGTCTCTGTTGGGGACACTTACTGTGACCATTTCAGATCTCCAGAGTTCTTGAAGATTCTGCATTGGGCCTGCCTTTGAGATCCCATAAGAGGATAATCTAGTAGTCAAGATGATAGATTATTAGAGTTAGCCTTAAAAATAGCAATTCTGTATCAGAGAAACTCCTCATTTTTAGCCCTTTTCCTGGAGTCTGGAGCGTGCCCCACCCTGTCTTTGGGCCAGGAGGCCTGAGAGTTCCGGTGCAGGGCTGGGTTGTGGCCTTGGTTTGACAAGCTACTGTCCCTCCCTCTCTAATTTCACAGGCCTATGCAGAAGAGTTTGGACTGACCCAAACCCAGCTCAGGACAGGAGAAGGGAGGCTAATGGTTCCTGCCAAGACCTACAGCTAAGTCTCCCGATATCTCTGCTTTACCACTTCAGGCCTCATTACCTGCTTTAGTTTCAGGGCCTGAAGATGCTCCTGCAGAGATGATCTCCACCCTAGCCTGGTGTGTCTTCCTGAACCTGGCACTCATCAACACTGTCAGACAAGGCCCTGGGCTCAGAGTTTGGGGTGTGTGTCTGTACTGGCTTGGTGCTGGGATTAGCTTTTTTTTTTTTTTTTTCAGGCCATTTTTATGGAGTTCTTTTGTGTACTGGTTGCCATCTTGTTGACCTGGGTCCTCCTACTGAAGTCTTGGTGAAATTCTTGACTGGTAACAGGACTCATTTAAAGTTCTTGTTACTGTAGAACAGCAACAACGCAGCAGTTGGGGCAGTTCTTCTCAAGGCTGTGATAGGAAGTGAAAGACGCTGTGGCAAGAGGAAACCACATGCACAGAGCAGTGGGGAGAATGGGGAGGGGTGACTGAGGTTTATTCCCATTGCAGCTGGAAGGGAGAAGGGAGGAGGCTGGTAGTGGGAGGAGGGAACAGATGATCCAGAATAGGAAAGAAGGCAGGAGCCAAGCACACCAAGAGCTGCTTTAGCTGGTAATGGTAAGCCAGGCTCCAGAAACCTTCCTTTGTACCTCCCCGATACATTTCCCCAGAGGCTGGGTCTCTGGCTGCTAATCAAAAAAAAAAAAGATTCTCATTAAAAAATTCTCTCTTACTACCTTTCATTTGTGCAATTTAGGGTGACCTCCACATTACGTGGGCTTAAACTACTGTTGGGACTTATGCATTGACTTGGGAGAATCATTCACTTTATCTGCTGGATATTCATTAAGTTCTGTTATGTGTCAGACACTACGTGATGTTCTGAGGACATGGGTGAATAAAGGATTCACAATCTGGACTGGAAGGCTGATGAACAGTTGAACCAATTTTAATTCCATGTGCACTAGATCATAACGCTTCAGGAGAGCGTGTCTGTGTCTGTCTTGTTCATTGCCGTCACCTTGGTGCCGGATGCAGAGTTGGCATGCTGTAGGCATGCAGATGTTTAATTGGCTGACCCATCCTTATTTGGT